CCCCCGGGCCGCGCTTTCGGGCAGGCTGGCGCGGGGTGCCGGGCGGGATCGCGCGGAACTTGGAGCGCGCTGGCCGCTCCCGGACAGGAGGAGGTTGGCGAGTCCAGCCCCGGCCAGGCCTCTTTCCCTGCCCACCGGATCGTGAGCTGTTTCCCGGAGAGGGGCAGCTTGCTCTTCTGTCCCCAGCTGAGCGAGGCTAGGGGCGGGGCAGCATCAGGCGTCCCCGAGAAGCGGAGTCCCCAGAAGCCCGACCTTCTGCCCGCGAGCCTCTTCAAACCCGGCTCGGAACAGCGAGCTGGGTGCACTCCCCTCCCCCTTCCAGGCGAATCCCTGGGTCCGCCCAGCCTACCCCCCACCCCCACGGCGGCGCGCCCACCCCAGCGAGGCGCTTTTGCCTCCCCGCTGAAACGGCGCCGAGCTTCCCGGGCGCGGGGCGGGCTCGCTCCATCCACTCCTACCTGGGGGCGTGCCTAGGCGAGTGATCGCTTTGGTGTTTCCTACGGAAAATGGGGGGTTGGGGTAGGGGGTGGGAGGTGGATGGGAGGGAGCGGCCCTGAATTCTCCAGCTCTAGCCTACTCGCTGTTGGCCCAGTCAGTCCGTATCGGGAAGAAAGAAGCTGGCGCCCAGGGCTTTACGTCTTCAGCACCCAGGTACGCTCCGGCTGCACTAAGCCGAGCCTCCCCCTGCCAGACGCCCTTCGAGGCAAGGCTGTCACCGGAAGTCTTTTTGTTGTTATTGTTGTTGAGCGTCCTGCTTTGTTTATGGAAAGTACTGCCCTGTAGGAGAGAGAAGTTGTGAGCTGTGTTCCAGTCAGATCTGGTTTGCACCGAGGGGCTGAGTGCTTGTTCGGGGTACCCTTTGCTAGCTCTTGCATCATCTCTACCCCGAAAAGATGGGAGTGGGTGTGTGTGGCCTTAACACCCAGAGTCGGATCGCATTGCCTCAGATCTGTGAGCTTCTCTGTCATCGTTCGATCAAGACCATCGTTCGATCAAGACCTAGAATAGAGACCAATACCTAATACATAAGTGTAAAACATATGTAAGTGTATATAAACTTATATGTAAGTGTAAAACGAAAACAAAGCTTCACTGTATGGTTTTTCTCCCTACAGTAGTTTTTTCTAATTTATCCTATTTTCTATTAAAAAAAAAAACAGACATAATCCAGTATCTTGATTTTAGGACTGGCTAACCAATTTTAGGACGTGGTTGCCTGCTCTCTTTGGGGTATCCCCATATCCTAGAGGTTGAGGAGAACATCAGCATTTCCCTGAGGAACTGACTTTGGCAGGGGGGGGTGACTTTGGTAGGGAGGATGGAGGGTAAAATTCACACTTGAGTGATGAGTGTACCATGGGGGCATGGCAGTGTGGTTCACACCATTAGCTTGGCAGGTAGGCTGGGGGTTCCTTCTAGTTACTCTGGTTCCTTCTGTTTGTACGGGCCCCAGCTGGTCACCTGACATGGAGCCTTGCAGACCCTGTGTGATGGCTGCGGAGGCAGGGAAAACAGAGGCAAGGAGCCATGATGGCCATCTTTTTTATGAGGGAGAAGAAAGGAGATCCTGCAAAGCTGCCACAAACTCCAGAGTAAATCCAAAAGGGGATTTTTAACATCTCTGCTCAGAATTTCACAGCTGCAGTCCCAGGATTGGGGCCATGGACATTTTATAGATGAAGCAAGCAATCCCACCACCTGTTAGTCATTATAGCTAATTGGCGATAGATCTGGGATTAGACACCTCCTCCCTTCATTTCCCAAGAAAGTCTCTCAGGGACCAATAGAGACTTTGCTCTTTTATGGAATTCGTAAACTTTTCTTTGTGGAGTCGGCCTGTTTTCCTGAGCTTGCTACCCAAGGCCATTTCTGTGGTATATAACCTCTAATTATTTTATCTTTACTTTTGGAATGAAGATTCTGCTTGGAAGCAAAAGCAGAGCTTGCAGGCCCTGTGTTTGGCAAAGGTGAAATGCATCCTGAGGATGTTTTGAAGAACTGAAGAGGAGGAAGTTGGGGCGTAGAAATGACCATTGTCAAGAGTGTGGCGTTGTTTATATTGACCCCAGGAGCAAACTCTCTTTTGCTTTCCCAAAAGGGGAAGTGGAACTGGCAGGGCAGTGCCTGACCTCTGGTTTCCACATTTCCTTGGAGTGGAGCCTGAGGTTCTTAAAGAGGGGAGAAAAAATCTTTGTTATAAAAGATCTTTAGAAGAAGGAGAAATTTGGGGGAAACGAACAGTCCTTAGTAAATATTACCTGTTCAGCCACAGCACATGGTAGGGACAGTGGCAGTGATGGGGAGACTGTTCATATTTAAACTTAAAAGTATCGAACCAGCTAAACAGGTGTCTTTGGAAGCCCAGAATAGCGCAGTGGTCTAATTAAGAGCAGGATTCTTCCTTGGGTCAGTGTGATTGTCCATTCTGCCTGACCAGATACTTATCTCAAAGTTCGTAAGCAAGCTTACTTGTTTATGTTGAAAAACTAGAAGGGCAAACTGGCCCCAGTTTACCTGCATCGACTCTCATCCTTTTTTTTTTTGAAAGGTGATCACTTTATTTATTTTAAAAGATTTGTTTATGCATACAGATGTGCAGTGCAGGCCAGAGGTGCAAGGACGGTGAGAGGCTTCACCAGAGACAGAGTGGGGAGCAGAACAGGCAGATTGATGAAGTACACTGCTGAGGGGAGCAGCGGGAGTGACGAGAGGTCTGCCAAGCCATGCGGATCACCTCCAGGCCCAAGGATTGAACTCACACTGAAGTAGCCGCACCAGTTTCTTAGTGTTGTGCTTCAACCCGCTGTGCTACCAGGGAGGGCCCCGGCTCCAATTTTTGCCTGGTTCTGACCCTCAGCATCATTGTCCCCCTGGATTTCCCAGGTCTGTTTGAGCTCCCAAGAACCTGGAGAGCTGGTGGGACTCCTGTGTATTGTTGGAGCCATGTCTGGGCTAGCCATGCCTGTGTTTGAAGTTCCAGTAGTGTTTAGATGGACATGTTTGTATTCCATAAGTACTGGATCCTTCTGTCAATGGAGGTCACACTTGGCTAGGGGTAGGGCTGGTGGTCAGATTTCTGAGGAAACCAGACCAGTACTTACAGTGCATAAAATATAGGGCCCTACAGCTGCATGCTGGGTAGTCTTGACCTGGTGGTGAGAATGCTCAGTCATACCTGGGCTGAGGGGCAACAGCATTGGCTGTGTTATAGTGCCGGGACTTCTCTGGTTGTTTCTGGTTTGTACTTTGTGTGGTTGGTTTTCATTAAATTTGTGTCCATCTACAAGGGAACCACTGACTCTTGGCTTTCCAGAAGATATAGTCAGAAATCCAAAACCACCTGTGAAATCATCTAGCTGCACTCCCCACCCCCTACCCTCGCCCCCGCCCCTTTCTCTCTGTTCCTCCCAGTTAATCATGTGAACTGATAAGAAAAGAAACAACCACAAAGTCATTTGTTCATGGTACAACACTAAGCCCTTGGGTTGCAGAAATGATAAGGTGCAGTTTCTGCTTTAAGCATGCGTTGTTTCCTGGGGGAAACAGAAAAATGACCTTCTGCACAGAACTTTTGACACTTAACGAAGGGCCCAAAACATAGAGGCTTTACCTAAAAATAATGTCAAAGGAGAAGATCATAACTCAGTTTGGGAAGTACAATAGAAGCTACGCCCCGGGCAGCAATAACTATACACCCCCACTCTGCCGGGACGGGGATCTGGGTGACAGTGAGGTTTGCTGGAGTATAAGGACAGAGGAGGAGACCGCAGAGAATCTGAAAATCCTCTGGGAACTTCCATGGAAATTGTGCTTGAGAGCAGTTGGGGTGGGGGGCTGGGTGACCCCAAAGACTTTGAACCGGGGCACAGCACATGATATGGGATTTGGGGACCACCTTTCCAGGGCTAGTGAGGACACTGAGGCAAGGAGAAGAAAA